ATCCCCTCCTCTCTCCATCCCCCCTCTCCATCCCCTCTCTCCTTTCCCTCGTTTCAATCCCGCCCTCCCCTCCACCTGCTCTTTCCGCAAAGTCGTCCCAGATGCTTCTCCCCCTTCCGCCCTCCGCCTCACCCGCCCTCTCCATTCACCCCCCTCCCCTCTCTACTTCCCCTCATTCCAGCCCGCCCTCCCCCTCACCTTCCCTCTCTGCAAAGTCGTCCCAAATGCTTCTCCCCCTTCCGCCCTCCGACACTGCGCCCTCCACCTGGAGCGCCGCATGGGCGGAAGGGGAGGGGGACGGGGAGGGGGAGGGGGAGGGGGAAGGGGGATACGGGAAGGGAGATAGAGGAGAAAGGAGGAGAGAAAGTTGGGGGGGAGGAGGGGGACGGGAAGAAGCGCGGAATAAGCAGGGTAACTGAAGATAGGAGCCAGTAACCGTGTTGTGTGCATGAGTGCATGTTATGAATGAAATCTATAACTGCGAGTATGCTCCGACGCTGCACCTGAACCCTCCACACGTGGCTCCCCTGCATCCCGTGCAACGTGGCTCACTCTCTCTCCGTGCCACGTGGCTCACTCTCTCTCCGTGCCACGTGGCTCACTCTCTCTCCGTGCCACGTGGCTCACTCTCTCTCCGTGCCACGTGGCTCACTCTCTCTCCGTGCCACGCGGCCTCACCTGAGCGGCGCTTGTAGCGAATCCGAACACGAAGTCTCCGCCAAAGTCGCTCGCGCGCAGCTCCCCTTCCTCCCGCGCGCCGTCCGCGAGCGCGTCCAACGACGGGCAGCCCTGGGGGAAGCGCGGGGGAGGGGGAAGACGGAGGGGAAACGAGGTTCTAGCGGCGTGGATAGGGGAAGGGGTAGGAAGGTGCGGGGGATTTGGGGGGAGCGGGAAGGGAAAGTGAACAGCATGTGGACTCGTCGGCAAGAAACAGAGGCTGTTGGGCGTATGCGGTACAGCGGCGTGCAGATCGGTGGGTGGCCACCCACTCGCACAATCACCTGCTCGTGCATACCTTGAGTATCCTTCTGCTCGTATCGAAGAGAGATTCTGCCGCGGATAATCTTGAATTTCCTGGAAATTGTCCCTGGCGGGGACTGTTATCAAGATTGCCGCTCTCTCGCGTCTCTGGAAACGGACGGGCTTTTGAGAAGTTCAAAGGTAGCTCGGGGAAGGGAGGAGCTTTTGAGAATGACTTTTGAATCGACTCAAAAGTCGCATCGTGGGGACTGTTATCGGATTTGCCGCTCTCTCGCGACTCTGGAGTCGGCCGAGCTTTTGAGAAGTTTGAAGGTAGCTTGGGGAAGGGACGGATTGAAGAAATAGCGTCAGAACTTTCCGGCTTGAATCCTGCCCGAGTGTGATTAAAGAATGTTAAGGACGGCTCCTCTTGAACCCTTGTCGAAGTAATGCTACTGGTGTCTATTAACTCATGAACCAGGCTAGTCGGTGTATGCTCTTGAGTGGCAACATCATGCCGTATATCGGAGGCACTACTATCGAGGACACTGTGCTCGCCGTGAGCGAGAGCAAGTGCGAGACACGGGATCAGCCCCGCTAAGAGCACCAGCGCTACTATCACAGCGCGCCGGATCGCCAGACGAGCCATAAGCGCGCCGAATCTACTGCCCAAGCTGGTAGCGGTGCTGCTGCTGGCGCTGTTGCTGCTATTTTCGCCACTGTTGATGATAACAGTGGTGCCGCTTCGAGCGCGCATAAGCGAGAGTTCAAGGAAGATGCGCGTTAATTAAAGATCACCCAGCGTGGCAACTAGACTTCTGGATGCGCTACATGGCGATGCGCGTGGTAAGTACCTCCCTAGATAGATCCTACTAGAGGAAAGGTGTCGGAGGGAGAGTGGGGACTAAGGAAACTGGGAATACCTTAGACTGGGGACTGAGGAGACGGGTGGAGACTGGGGAGGATAGAGACTGGGGAGAGAGAAGTGGTGGGACGAAGGATGGAGGACAGAAGGGAGAGGTAGACAGGGAGGGAAGGGAAGAGGCAGGGAGAGGGAAGACGGGGAGCGCGATAGGGAGAGAGAATGAGAGGATGAGCGCGAATGCGGGGCGAGAGGATGTGGCGGAGGTGCAAATGCAATGCGAGGGGTTACGGAGGGGCGAATTGCGCCTCTTCAAAGGCGGCGGCGCAAATTGAGCGACTCGAGCGAAAAATGTGCGCTTCTTCCGACTGGCACGGTGAGTTTCGTGCAACCACTGAGCGTGTACGGCGACGAGTTACTGTGTTCTGTTTAGCGCCTCTAACGAAACCACGGTAGGCGATGATTGGGTGCTGTTTGAGTGATCCCCATGCGCGCCGTGCTGGCAACGCTGCAAATCCGCCGCTTGTGGTTGGTGAGAGTCCTTCCGGCGCGTATAAAATTATGGGTTGTGAATTCTTGTGCACCATGCTAACAGGAATAACACAATCCTACGGTACCATAAATAAATGGAGCAGACAATTGTAACAGCTGGTATTGAAAGAAATGCTTTTGGGAAATGGTCTGGATTCAGGGGAATGAGAAGGTTTCTCAAACAGCATAAGCGTCATACACTAGAGGCATCTTCCCCTACACAGCTTTCAACTGTCCTACCCTGAACAGTGCCAGAATAGCACAAGTCTGCAAAGCCCAAGCCAGATTGCACCACCAAGCAAGAAACATTGCCATCTCCCTCACCAGCAGTGGTGGCAACAGGGACCCCTCTTTATCGAACAGTGGATCCAACTCTGGTCCTCTGCTCCTTGCAATACCCACCAGCAGGAGTGTGACTATAGGTAGCGCAACCGTTTGAATAGCAACCTTGCAGATGAAATAATATGTCAGCTGCACGCGTGCGTTTACACGATGATAAGCCCACTCCTTGCCAGAGTGTAGCTGATCGTACCAATACACCAACGCAGTATTGAGGTGTGACTGTACGGCAATGCGGAGAAGCAGAAGGCGGGAAATGCCACTGAGGAGAACAACTGCCACCTGGAGCCACTCGATTGGAAGGCCACCGCATTGGCCACTCATAATGGATCCAATCAGAGAGCCAACGTAAGCACCCAAGTGGGAGAGAGTGGATACACCAGCAGCAGCAGTAGAATTAGAAGCACCAGCAGTAGCATTAGCAGCAGCAACAGAAACAGAACCCAAAGCACCAGCCGAAACAATGTCACCGCCACCACCAACAGCACCGCCAGACCCACCAGCTACACCACCCCCAACCGCACCGAAAACAACTACAGGCTCCAGAACTTCCGTCAGGGGACGAAACCAGAGCGCTGCTGCGAGCACAGGCAGCAGAAAGCTGACATTCCAGAGGAGAGAGGACCAGAAACCCTGATGGATGATCCCTGTGTCCCACGGCTGCTGACTGGTGGAGAGATAAAAGCAGCGGACGAATCGGATGGCAGCAGGGAGGCACAGCGCGCCGATGACCCCTGCGAAGAGCACCAATGAGGTTTTAATGAAGGTTGGGGGGATGATGAATTCGGGGATGTTGTCCTTGGCGAGTCCCTTCGACTTGAAGTGATTCGTTATAGTCACGCCGGCCTTCTCCGCGACGGAATCGAAGTCGAAGCCGGTGAGAGACGCAGGCAGGACGAAGAGGAGGAACCCCGTTATAAGGCAGCTCGTTATCCCAGCAAGAGCACACTGCGTGAAATCTGAGGATCGGGTTGTGCCTCTGTCCCACTCTACAGAAGCCCAGTTCCGGATTATCTTCCACAGAGCCACAGCTGCAAGGAGAAGCGGAATCATGCCGCCATGATCCATCAGGAAAAGGCCAGTGGAAGAGGAATGTAGATTCTGCTTCGGGGTGTTCGGATCTGCATTCTGCTGCTGCTGGCTTTGCTGGTTGGCGATGATTCCACTCCCCTGAAGGTAAATCTCAATGGCGGTCAGGATTTCCCGGGAAAACACCGCCATGATCCCTATGCAGGCGAACAGGATAGTTTCGTCGAATTCGCGAAAGAACTTTCGCGAATAGAGGTGACCCTCCTGCACGAGAATTCGCATCATCTTGCCGCTTGTTTCGTCCGCTTCCGGCTCGTTGTTTTTTCTCCTGCCCCTGTTTTTTCCCTGCCCGTTGGGAGCGGATGACATGGGTACTCCCGCATTTTGATCGGTAAGAACGTAAACCTGCAGTTGCCGGAGAAGACGAACCGGTACCCCATAACGAACAACGAGGAAGCTTGTAATGAGACAGACTACGGAGTAATAGACGACGCTGAATATTCCCAGCATCGTGATCCGTCCCTTTCGAGTCGGATTGAAACTAAATTATTGAATCAGCTGACGTTGAACAACAAGGAAACGCTGAATACGAGGAGTTGAAGCAGAGAAAGGAACGGCCGATTGAAGGATAAGCGGACTGGAGAGGAACGAAGGGGACAGGGGAGAGGATTCGCGATTGGGACACAAGCCTAAGCAGCAGCAGGAGTGTGACTACAGCGAAAGTGGCTTGGGCTCGTTACGAGCGTCTTTAGGCACGCCGCTTCGTCGCTTGCCATGACACGGCTGTCATTCAGAATCTGTGACTACAATTCCCCGAATTCTGCTCCGATCTACTTGCAAGTTCTGCTCAGCTATGCACTCCTCGAATCTGCGTCCCTACTGGCTTGGGCTGACTCGTTTGTCCGTTGAGATACGTATACTCCAGAGGGAGTAGGGAAGCTGCACGAGCAAGAGAAGGAATCCAAAACGGTCTGGACTGGAAGAACTGGAATCTCCCAGTGCGGTACATATGTATCCAAAACGGTCACACCGCCGCAAGTTTTCAAACCGCCTCCGATCTGCGTGACACCCGACCAGCAGAATATCATTCTTGTTATTAAATTAACATCGATTCACCTACTAAGCTAGAACAGGGATGCATCCTGCAAATCCCTAGCAAAATTTCACAAAAAAGAAGCAGAACTAAAGAGGCGGATTTTCTCCCCACAGCAACAGAAGCAACAAGAACTACATCCTACATGGGTGATAGACGTGAAGAGGATACTGGTACAATTTGAAATCACAATATGTATGGCTTCGACATGGCCTCCATAATCCTCCACTCCAACTCGTCCTCCCTGATCCATCTTGCGCTCTCCATCCGCAAAGCCGTCTTGGCCGCTTCCTTGCGAGCATTGATCTTCTCCTCCCTTTCTTTGAGCCGCGCTGCATTCATCACCTTCAGCTCTTGCTGCTCACATAAAGAAAAGGTGTGGTGAAGAAGGGGGGGTGTGCGGGTGGGGGCCGGAGGATGGGGTGGGGAAGGAGGATGGGGTAGGGCAAAGGAAGAAAGAAAGAAACAAACACGAACAATCCCAGGGATTATGGGTGGGCCAGGGATTACGGGGGAGAGAAGTGCTTCTCCAGACCATCCCACACACCTCTAACTTGAACAATCTTCCCCCCCCCCTTCATCCTTATGTTTCCTTCCCACCCATCCCGCCCACCTTTTAGCTGCTTACAGCTTCTCCTGCTCCTCCCTAGGCCTCACCACACCACAACACCCAACCACAACATGCACGACCCTTCCCCTCCCCCCTCACAGCCCCCTCCCCCCATCCTTGTCTTCCCTCCCACCCACCCACCCACCTAAGCCGACTTCCATCTTCCCCATTTCTCACCACCCCTCCCCCCCCATCCCCCATATCCTTTTTTCCCCGCCCAAACCCACCTTTGCTGCTCGCAGACTCTCCTGCTCCTCCCTCGCCCGCGCCGCCCGGGCGGCCCTCGCGGCCGCTTCTCCTCCGCATGCGACTCCTTCTCACTCGCCGCAGCCTCTCTGCACTGCTGCTGCCCCTCCCTGGGCCTCACCACACCACAACACACAAACCCAGCAAGCACGACCCCTCCCCTTCCCCCCCACAGCCCCTTCCCCCCCATAATTTTCTTCCCTCCCCCCCCCATCCCCCATATCCTTTTTTCCCCACTCATCCGACCCACCTTGGCTGCTCGCAGACTCTCCTGCTCTTCCCTCGCCCGCGCCGCCCGGGCGGCCCTTGCCGCCCGCTTCTCCTCCGCATGCGACTCCTTTTCGCTCGCCGCCGCCTCTCTGCGCTGCTGCTGCGCCTTCATTGCTGCTCGCCGCAGCTCCTGCTGCTCCTGCGCGTATGCCTTCCGGAGAGAGGACACCTGGGCTTGGTAGTCCCTCTGCCTCTGCGCCAAGTCCTGGGGGGAGAAGGTGAGGGGGGAGCAAGGGGAAAGGAGGCAGGGAGGGATGTGCCTGCTGCGCCTTCAGCATTTTCCGCCGTAGCTCCTGCTGCTCCTGCGCGTATGCCTTGCGAAGGGATGACACCTGGGCTTGGTAGTCCCGTTGACGCTGGGCCAAGTCCTGGGAGGAGGAGGTGAACGTGGAGTCAGGGGAACGGAGGTAGAGGGGGAGGGATGTGAGTGCTGCGCCTTCAGAGCCACCCGCCTCAGTTCCTGCTCCTGCTGCTCCTGCATGTATGACTTCCGGAGAGAGGACACCTGGGCTTGGTAGTCCCGTTGACGCTGGGCCAAGTCCTGGGTGGGAGACAGTGAGGGGGTAGTCATGTAGGAGGTAGGAGGGATGTGCCTGCTGCGCCTCCAGTGCTGCTCGCATCAGCTCCTGCTGCTCCTGTGCCTATGCCTTGCGGAGAGAGGAGACTTGGGCCTGGTAGTCCCGCTGCCGTTGTGCCAAGTCCTGGGAGGAGGAGATGAATGAGGGTTCAGGGGAAAGGAGGGAGGGAGGGATGTGCCTACTGCGCCTTCAGTGCTGCTCGCCTCAGCTCCTGCTGTTCCTGTGCCTATGCCTTGCGGAGAGAGGAGACTTGGGCCTGGTAGTCCCGCTGCTGCTGGGGCAGGTCCTGGGAGGAAATGGGGGAGGGAATGAACGGAGAGCAGGGACGGAGGTGAGTGCTGGTAGTAACGGCTTCCGCAGAGGAGGAGGTAAGTAGCGGAGGGGATTTTACAGGCGAGTGTTGAGTCACAGACTCAAAAAAGGCTTACCTCTAATGGACCAAGGGATGCAGCTGTTTCAGTAGGAGATTCTCAAGGGGCGGAGAGGAAGGTGGGGTTAGGGGAGGTATCGAAGAGAATCCTGTAGTTGGGTGTTTAGATGAATCGACTCAAGAGTGGCTTACCTCTAACGGACCACGGGATGCAGCTGTTTCAGTAGGAGGTTCTGAAGAGTGGGGGGAGGCTGAAGAGAAATCCCTGCGGGAGTAAACGCACAGAGTGAAATGGGCGTGGAGGGAAGGGAGCAGAGGGGTGAGAGTTGACAGAGCGACAGGCGAGAGGCAGTCGAGGAAGCGCGTAGAGAGAGAGAGGAGATGGTTGAGGGGAGGAGAGACGAGGTAAAGGAGGGAAGAGGAGCGCGAAGAGCGGGGAATGAGGCTGGAGGGGGAGAATAGAGGGGAATTGAAGGGATGGGGGAAGAGGGGGAGGGAGAGGAGGGGGAGGAGGGAGGGGAGGGATGGGGGGGAGGGGAGGGGGAGAATGGCATTGTTTCTAGGGGCGACGAGGAATGTACCTTACGGGGCATGTCGAGGACGCGGGAGATGTAACGACTAGCGAAATCGGAAAGCCGTTTGCGAACGCCGCGAACGGCCATGAAACGGATCGATCCGCCGCTCCGTGCGACCAGATGCGAGAGACGACGCGCGCAGCCATCTGTCGCAGGAACGATGCTACGAGATTCAAAAGAGCAGAAGACAGGTGCGCCGGTTGGGAGTTCTCAGATGTGAATCAGCTTTCTGAGCCAGTTCTAAGTCGTTTAACGGTCGTGAAAGCCACGACTGGTGGTGCTGCTGCTGGTAATGGTCGTGGTGATGTGGCGGCGCGGCGGAGCGCGTGGCGAAGGGAAACGATTGGGTGAGCGATTGCGGCGAAGAAGGGCGGATCGCGATCACGTTGGCCTTGGGATTCTCGCCTGGTCACACGCGAGTGACTGGCAGCAGCAACAAGAACCATCGTGGCGCGATGGGAGCTGAAGAAGTAGGAGGAGCTGGAGTGGGAGATGTCAACCTAGACTCTATCGCGGATGAATCAGCACCCGGAGTGTGCATAGGCAGTACAGTTATGTACCAACGAGCTTAGGAAAGGCCAAAACAATCTTGAAAAGGGTTCAATTCAGTCCTATTTCCAATTTACATATGGTTTGATGCCCTGTACGAAGAATTTGCACATCTACATGAACTTGCGCTGCGGTCGGCCTTCCAGTTCCTCTTGCTTCCTCTGCATCAGCGCACAAATTGCAAGCAATACAGCAATAAGTAAATGAATAACCTCGAAAACACTGTTCAAGTCAAGAAGACATGCGCTGTGATATATCCCAACAGGTTGGGCCTGTGGAATGGAAGGAAGTGAATCCAATCAGCAGAGACGAAAAGACGACTGCTTGCAAAATGAAAGCAAACCCAGGCAAAATTCTAACCCTTGCTGCTGAGTAAGGGAAGGGAATTGTGGTTAATCATGGAATGGGGTGATTTGAAATTAGAAGTGCGTTGAGGGCAACGAAGGAACAAGAGGGAGCATGGGGTAGAGAAACGAGGGTGGACACGCAGACAGACAGGCGGACAGGTGGACGAATGATACGAATGCAAAAGATGGAAAATGAAGAAATGAATGTGAACGCTGTGAGTGCACATGTTCAGTCCAATTCATCATCTAATGAATATAAACAGAATGGAGCCTGGCCGGCAGCATGCTTACGGAGCAAAGGAAATCTATTTGGTGCATTACACCATATCCTCTCAAGAGAGTGGGTGCAACTATAAGACATCAGCCCTTGCAAGCTCTATATTTTTCCTAACGACAACTTATTTGTTAGGCAAAACCAAGGTTTACCATGCAAAGCAGTGTGCGAGGGTCGAGAGAGCGCAGGTGGAGAGGAGGGTGAGAAGTGGTTGGGGGGGGGGGGGGAGGGGAGAGGTGGGGGGAGATGGGGGGAGGGAAGGGGAAGGGAAGGGAGGGGGGAATGGAGGAGGAGAAAGGAACGCAAAAAGAAGTCCCTGCCCTTCCCACCCTCACCCACCAACCCTATAACGACTTCACAAAAAAAGGCGGGTCTTACGAATTCTGCGATGGTGCCTCGGTACACGACAACGGGGAGGACGACGATTGCGAGCGCCGCGATCGAGAGCGTGCGACGGTTGAAGCGAAAGATCTTCTCGAGGTTTTCGCGCCGCGTGCCCCAATCCTCGATGTACTTGTTCTTATGCACGTCGAGACCCCCCGCCATGGCTACGAGAATGTGCAGGTGCTCGACACTACACTCCGGGGAGATAAGAAAGCAGCGCGAGTGCGAGCACAGGCGAAAACGCAACGCGCGGATCGCGAGCTTGCAGACGTAAGTGTCTGTGTGCAGGCGAGGGAACGCGATCGGAAATGGCGCGATCGAAGGGTGCTGGGAGTTCTGGTGGAGCGGGGACCGAGGGATGGTGTCAGGGGAGCGACGGCGGCGATGACGGATAAATGGTCGGCAGAAAGTTACGGTCCGCCGTGCCTGACGCGCAGATAATATCTAAGCAGGACGTAATGGGTGGTGCACAGACTGGACGAACTTGGCTGGTGACCTGACACTCGTTATAGAAATTCTCAGTAAAGAATACAATCTTATTAGTGTTCAGAAAGCAAGCACAAGAATATACAGTTTCGTCAAATAATTTCTACTTCAGCATAGATGTTGATGATTCACGCACTAGTCATCCTCTTCCTTATTGTCTATCAAACCTCCACTTCCCCCTTCATCCCTCTCTGCTCCACCTCCCTGCTGACCTTCCTCCTCATCCCCCATAGTGAGCTTTTGCCTCTTCCACTTATAAGCAGCCTCCAAGATCTTGAGATTAGGTTGGTTAGCCGCTTCATCAGGGAAGATGTAGTCGTAATACTCCTCGAACCTGCCACAAACACAAAACAGATGAAAAGGGGAAACAATGTTGAGATGCTTCATCGGGGAAGATGTAGTCGTAATACTCCTTGAACCTGCCATAAGCAAGAATGGATGAAATGGCAAAACCAACGTCAGTCTCTAACAATAAGTGCAGAGCACACAAGACGAGAATGGTAACAAAGCAACCCAGATATCCATGAGTGGATTTGAGTATGCACGCACCCAGCAGGAGTGCCATCCTCCGTCGTGATTGGCCGCTTGCGCTTCACGCGTCGCGGCATCTTCTTCTCGACCAATCCCGGGTCGCCGTTCACGCCCGCCGCCCGCTCCATCTCTCGCCACGCCTCCAGCAGCATCACCCGCTCCTCCTTCTGGTCGGCGGCGTTTGTCCTCATGTGCTCAAATGCCCGCTCATACACCTCTGCACGTGGCCGTATGTGAGGAACGGGGCAGGCAGGGAACGAGAGAACAGCAGGCGAGAAGACACAAATCAGATTCAGCACACCCCTGTGCTCTCACACTGCCCTCGTACCGAATCCCCACCCCACACCCCACCACCCACACCGCACACCCCATTGATCACACAAGTCAACCAACCCATACACACCTAACCAAACACCGTACTTCCGGCCAAAGTCAACCAGCCCTTAGACCGGGCTTCAGGTCGTCCGCCTCTCTGCCCTCCTCCGGGGCTAGCACCTGCCCGTTGTACCTGTAACCCCAAGCCCCACTCCCAACCCAAGCACCATACCACACGCACCATACCCCACCGCACTGTACCTCTGGCCCTGGTGACCCGGTCCTTAGACTGCTCTGCAAGCACCAGCTCGTCCGCCTCTCTGCCCTCCTCGTCCTGTGCGCACACCCTGTTTCTGTCATTCTACACCCCACACCTCACATTCCATGCAGCAAACACCCCATGCCACCCCACCTCTCGCCCCTCGTGCCCGTACCTCTCGCCCTGGTGAGCCGGGCCTTGGACTGCTCTGCAAGCACCAGCTCGTCCGCCTCTCTGCCCTCCTCCTCCTCTGCTCGCACCTGATTTGCGCATGCTAATTCTCAGCTTTACTGTCCTGTACCTGAAGTTCCACATCCCATACTCCACTCCACCGCACTGTACCTCTGGCCCTGGTGACCCGGTCCTTGGACTGCTCTGCCAGGACCAGCTCGTCCGCCTCTCTGCCCTCCTCCTCCGCCTTAATCTCCTCCTCCACTGCCACCTGCGCCTCAAACTGCCCGTAGCTCATCCACACCTGTGGAGGGGTGGAAAGAGAAGGGATGGAGTGCGGGGAGAGGTGGGGAGGGAGAGAGTGGGTGCAAGGGGGAAGCACAAGCACCAGCTCGTCCGCCTCTGCCGTCCACCTCTGCTTTCATCTCCTCCTCCACTGCCTCCCGCGCCTCAAACTGCTCGTAGCTCATCCACACCTGTGATAGAGGGAGTAGCACGGGTGCATGGGGAGAAAGGAGGCGTAGCTCATCCACACCTGGGATAGAGGGAGTAGCACGGGTGCATGGGGAGAAAGGAGGCGTAGCTCATCCACACCTGGGATAGAGGGAGTAGCACGGGTGCATGGGGAGAAAGGAGGCGTAGCTCATCCACACCTGGGATAGAGGGAGTAGCACGGGTGCATGGGGAGAAAGGAGGCGTAGCTCATCCACACCTGGGATAGAGGGAGTAGCACGGGTGCATGGGGAGAAAGGAGGCGTAGCTCATCCACACCTGGGATAGAGGGAGTAGCACGGGTGCATGGGGAGAAAGGAGGCGTAGCTCATCCACACCTGGGATAGAGGGAGTAGCACGGGTGCATGGGGAGAAAGGAGGCGTAGCTCATCCACACCTGGGATAGAGGGAGTAGCACGGGTGCATGGGGAGAAAGGAGGCGTAGCTCATCCACACCTGGGATAGAGGGAGTAGCACGGGTGCATGGGGAGAAAGGAGGCGTAGCTCATCCACACCTGGGATAGAGGGAGTAGCACGGGTGCATGGGGAGAAAGGAGGCGTAGCTCATCCACACCTGGGATAGAGGGAGTAGCACGGGTGCATGGGGAGAAAGGAGGCGTAGCTCATCCACACCTGGGATAGAGGGAGTAGCACGGGTGCATGGGGAGAAAGGAGGCGTAGCTCATCCACACCTGGGATAGAGGGAGTAGCACGGGTGCATGGGGAGAAAGGAGGCGTAGCTCATCCACACCTGGGATAGAGGGAGTAGCACGGGTGCATGGGGAGAAAGGAGGCGTAGCTCATCCACACCTGGGATAGAGGGAGTAGCACGGGTGCATGGGGAGAAAGGAGGCGTAGCTCATCCACACCTGGGATAGAGGGAGTAGCACGGGTGCATGGGGAGAAAGGAGGCGTAGCTCATCCACACCTGGGATAGAGGGAGTAGCACGGGTGCATGGGGAGAAAGGAGGGGATAGAGAGCGGCATGAGAGCTCAGCTCGTCCGCCTCTCTGCCCTCCTCCTCTGCCTTAATCTCCTCCTCCACTGCCACCTGCGCCTCAAACTGCCCATAGCTCATCCACACGTGTGGAAATTGGGGTGGTGGAAAGTGATGACATGACAAGGAGTGGAAAGCGATGGCAAGGAGTGGCAAGGAGTGTTACCTTGACGTGTTTGGTCCTCTCCAGCTTTCGCTCGTACAGCTGCCTCGTGCGAGCGCCCAATCGTGCTTACCATGTAAAGAGCAAATACACAGCACAGATGTTACCTGGTTATCAGCAAAAGCTGTTTCTCACCTTGACATGCTTGGTTCGCTCCAGCAGTCGCTCATACAGCTGCCCCGTGCGCACGTTCGTGCATATTATCATGTATGACTACACAACACGGGTGTTACCTGGTTACCAGATCTCACCTTGACGTGCTTGGTTCGCTCCAGCAGCCGCTCGTACAGCTGCCTCGTGCGTTCGCTCTCACCCTCCGCTATCTCAAAGTCAATGTACGCCTGCCATGGGGCAGGGCAGGGGAGCAAAGACAACAGGGAAATGTGTTATGTCTCAACAATTGCGCGCGCTCACTCTCCCCCTCCGCTATCTCAAAGTCAATGTACGCCTGCCATGGGGCAGGGCAGGGGAGCAAAGACAACAGGGAAATGTGTTATGTCTCAACAATTGCGCGCGCTCACTCTCCCCCTCCGCTATCTCAAAGTCAATGTATGCCTGCCATGGGGCAGGGCAGGGGAGCCAAGACAACAGGGAAATGTGTTATGTCTCAACAATTGTGCGCGCTCGCTCTCCCCCTCCGCTATCTCAAAGTCAATGTACGCCTGCAAAAGGGCAGAGACAGGAGAGCAGAGGGTAGTAGGACTGATGCTTGTCAGAAGGTGTTTAAGCTCGCTCGTACAGCTGCCTCGTGCGCTCGCTCTCCCCCTCCGCTATCTCAAAGTCTATGCACGCCTGCGATAGGATAGAGATGACGGGATGGAAGCAGTAAGACAGGTATTGAGTACTTGCACGTATTGAGACGTCTTAACAATTGTGCGCGGACCGAGGCGCGTGCGCGGACCAAGCGGAGCGCGCTGACCAAGGCGCGCGTGTGGACCAAGGCGCGCGCGTGGACCAAAGGCGCGCGCGTGAACCAAGGCGCGCGCGTGAACCAAGTCACTACAACCAGCCTCTAGAAGCGTGGCTGAGGCACAGCATACCTTGCACAGCAGCTCAGGTGTATTTAAGAGAGGCTACCCGATGGTTAACTCGTATTCAGCCCGAGCTCGCTCGGTTTCGCCCAGGCTGCGCTCCAGCTCTGCGAACTTGGCCCACGCACACACTCACACACTCAAGCATGCGCACACTCATATGCAGCGTACCTTCCACAGCAGCTCCAGCTCTGCGAACTTGGCCGACGCTGAGTTCACGTTCTATCTTGTACCTCCCACACCGTACCTCCCACAAAGAAATACCTACCTTCCACAGGAGTTCAGGCGTATCCAAAAGAGGCTGTCCTATGGCTAACTCGTAAACCGCTCGCGTCCGCTCCGTCTCCCCCAGGCTGCGCTCCAGTTCAGCAAACTGCAGGGTGTTTTTGAGAATTCTCAAAAACGCGCTCCAGTTCAGCTAACTTGGCCCACGCACACGCACTCTCCTTCCCCAACGTACCTTCCACAGCAGCTCCGGAGTGTCCAATAGAGGTTGGCCAATCGCCAGCTCATACACGGCTCGTGCCCGCTCCGTCTCCCCCAGGCTGCGCTCCAGCTCTGCGAACTTGGCCCACACTCACAACCATGCACACATTCATGCACGCATACTCATGTGCAAGCACACTCGATCACGTACCTTCCACAGCAGCTCAGGTGTGTCCAGCAGCGGCTGCCCTATCGCCAGCTCATACACTGCCCTTGCCCGCTCAGTTTCGCCCAGGCTGCGCTCCAGCTCTGCGAACTTGGCCCACGCGGGACAGCTGGCGGGCTGCCATTGGAGGTACTTCTCGTACAGCATGCGACAGCGGTCGATGTTGCCCAGCTGTAACTCCATCTCTATGTATGCCTTGAAGATCTGAGATGAGAATGAAGAGGGTGGAGAGAAATGAGAGGTGTATTGCAGCCACATTGGAGGTACTTCTCGTACAGCATGCGGCAGCGGTCGATGTTCCTTAGCTGTAGCTCCATCTCTATGTATGCCTTGAAGATCTGCGGGTGAGTGGTGGTTTGGAGTACACAGCATGAGTAGAGGAAAGGAGAGGTCAACACAAACGCAAGGTACTTCTCGGACAGCATGCGGCAGCGGTCGATGTTGCCCAGCTGTAACTCCATCTCTATGTATGCCTTGAAGATCTGAGGTATGTGTGTGGAGGGCACAAGGCGTGGGAGGGTTGGGACTGCGAGGGTTCGAACAACAAGAATGTTTTGGGACATGGGCTGCCTGCCATTGGAGGTTCTTGCTGTTGCTCGAGGTGCACAGAATTCGGCAGCGTTCGATGCTGCCGAGGTGCAGCTCCATCTTGATGTACGCCTCCTCGTACCTCATCAAACCGTATCATACCGACTCATACAGACTCATACCGTATCTGATGTCACCTTATCTTTGGGAGCCACGCCGATCGCGTGCCCCAGGATCTGCCGGGCGGCAGAGAGGCGCTTCTGGCGGATCTCAAACTGGGCGGCGAGCAGCCAGATCTTGGCGAATGAGAACTTGCCATGTGGGATCAGCTTCAGGCACTCCCGGTACACCTCCCTCGTCCTCTCCATGTCCCCCGCTTCGAGTTCTTCGTATAGGGCATAGTTGATCCTGGTGCGGGTGTGGGGGGAAGCGTAGGTGTTGGGAGTGGTGGTGAGTGGTGGAGGTGGGTGGTGGCTGATGATGATGGGTGCTGGGGCCACTCCTGGAACACCTCCCGCGTCCTCTCCATGTCCCCCGCTTCAAGTTCTTCATACAGAGCGTAGTTGATCCTGGTGTGTGTGTTGGGGGAGGGGAAAGGGCAGCGACAGGAGAGGGAGGATATGTTGTTGCTGGCTTCAGACATTCCCGGTACACCTCCCACGTCCCCTCTATGCCCCCGGCCGGCCTCCAGCTCCTCGTACAGAGCGTAGTTGATCCTGGTGGGAAACGGAAAGAGTGTTGGTGGGTGGCGATGGGTGGTGGTGGGTGGAATCAGCTTCAGGCACTCCCAATACACCTTCCACGTCCCCTCTATGCCCCCGGCCGGCCTCCCGCTCCCAGAGCACCTCCCCCGCACAGTTTAGTCAGATCAACCCACCAGAGGTAGATGTATCGAGGTGACTTTTGAGTCGACTCAAAAACACCCTGTACATGTATCTACGTGACTTTTGAGTCGACTCAAAAGTCACCTCCCGCTCCCAGAGCACCTCCCCCGTACAGTTTAGTCAGATCAACACACCGGAGGTAAATGTATCGCTGCCAGAAGCGCTTCTCATCGGCAGGAGGCACGTTGGCGATCGCCCGTTCGTACACCTCCCGCACCCGCCCCGCCTCCCCAACACTCTCCTCCAACCTCACATAGAGGTACATGTGTCCATCCGCACATACAGGTAGATGCATGGCACTGCATGCATATCAGCTCACCAGAGGTAGATGTATCGCTGCCAAAATCGCTTCTCATCCGCTGGAGGAACATTCGCAATCGCCCGCTCGTACACCTCCCGCACCCGCTCCGCCTCCCCCACACTCTCCTCCAACCGCACATAGTCAAACCACGCGTCGTAGTTCCGCGGATTCCTCTTCACCTCCTCTTCATACTCAAACCGCCTCTTCCCCACCACCACATCCTCTATCCCTGCCCGGTCCCCATGCTGCTTCTCGAAAACCACGAATTTTTTGTACAGGGATTCGGCCTGGGCCTTCGGAACGTGGTCGAGTGCGTATTTGTAAATCGCCCTGGCCCGCTCGGTCTCTTTGCATATCCGCTCCTCGAACTCGGCAAACGCGACGAAAAGCTCCTCGTTCTGCCCGTCCTCGCCGAGAATTTCAACTGCCCGCTCGTACACCTCCCGGGCGCGCGAAATCTCTCCTTGCTTCACCTCGAATTTCGCGAATCGGATCCACGCTTTCACCGTGGGAATGCACATGGTGTAGCGTTCGAACACGGCCCGAGCGCGTGCGATCTCGCCGTATCGGAGCTCGAATTTGATGTAGGCGGACCAGCCGTGGTGGTCGGGTTCCCACTTCATCCACCGCTCCAGCACCTGCCTCGCCCCTGCCACGTTCCCCAGCATCTCCTCCATGTGAATGTACTTGTACCTTGGGGTGAGGAGGGGTGGGTGGGAAGGGGGACAGAGCAGGGTTGGCGTAAGGATGAAATGTTAAGAAGGAAGGGGGTGACGAGACAATTGGGTGCACAAGGAACAGCCCCTGCCACGTTCCCCAGCATCTCCTCCATGTGAATGTACTTGTACCTTGGGAAGGTACAAGGACGAATTGGGGTAAGAAGGAAGGGGTTCAGGGACAGGGTGAATGGGTACAGGGAAAGGGGGAGGAGTTGGGTGTATGAAGCAGCCCCTGCCACTTTCCCCAGCATCTCCTCCATGTGGATGTACTAATACCTTGGGGGGGAAGGGAGGGAAAGGCGGAAGCACAGGAGGTGGTTGAGGGGTTGTTCTAGGAGGTGGGGAAGAGGAAGATCAAGAAGGCCAGGATTGCAAAACAGGGTAAGGAGAAGAAGAACAGGAAAGGGTAAAGTTGCAGAAACGTACTTCAACTTTACCCTTTCCTGTTCTTCTTCTCCTTACCCTATTTTGCTTAAAACGACTTAGTCAAGCCAGAAAGCACCGGTCCATGCAAACCAGTCGCACATGTTCCGCGCACATGGTGCTGCGATGTGATGTTCCGCGCACATGGTGCTGTGATGTGATGTTACGCGCACATGGTGCTGTGATGTGATGTTCCGCGCACATGGTGCTGTGATGTGATGTTCCGCGCACATGGTGCTGTGATGTGATGTTACGGCAAACATCAACTGAGCCAGGCCAGCCATCGTCACCACGGTTGGTCGATGCAGGGCAGCAGCGACACCGTTCGGTCCCACACGTTCCGCGCATGGTGCTGTGATGTGCTGACTAGCTCCATCCTTGACTCACCACAGCTGGTCGATGCGAGGCAGCAACAACACAGCACGGTCCCACACGTTCCTTGCTTGGTGCTATGATGTACCATTGACGCACTCGCTTGAGTGACCGACTGAAACCATTTTCTGATCTACTCAACGAACCGCACTCACCAGAGCTGGTCGATGCAAGGCAGCAGCGACACCGCCCGGTCCCACACGTTGCTAGCATGGTCCACACGTACCGCGCATGGTGATGTGCTGACTAGCTCACTCCATCCTTGACTCACCACAGCTGGTCGATGCGGGGCAGCAACAACACAGCACGGTCCCACACGTTCCTTGCTTGGTGCTATGATGTACCATTGACGCACTCGCTTGAGTGACCGACTGAAACCATTTTCTGATCTACTCGACGAACCGCACTCACCAGAGCTGGTCGATGCGAGGCAGCAACAACACAGCACGGTCCCACACGTTGCTAGCATGGTCCACACGTACCGCGCATGGTGATGTGCTGACTAGCTCACTCCATCCTTGACTCACCACAGCTGGTCGATGCGGGGCAGCAACAACACAGCACGGTCCCACCCGTTCCTTGCTTGGGTGCTATGATGTACCATTGACGCACTCGCTTGAGTGACCGACTGAAACCATTTTCTGATCTACTCGACGAACCGCACTCACCAGAGCTGGTCGATGCGAGGCAGCAGCGACACCGCCCGGTCCCACACGTTCCTAGCATGGTCCACACGTACCGCGCATGGTGATGTGCTGACTAGCTCACTCCATCCTTGACTCACCACAGCTGGTCGATGCGGGGCAGCAACAACACAGCACGGTCCCACACGTTCCTTGCTTGGTGCTATGATGTACCATTGACGCACTCGCTTGAGTGACCGACTGAAACCATTTTCTGATCTACTCAACGAACCGCACTCACCAGAGCTGGTCGATGCAAGGCAGCAGCGACACCGCCCGGTCCCACACGTTGCTAGCATGGTCCACACGTACCGCGCATGGTGATGTGCTGACTAGCTCACTCCATCCTTGACTCACCACAGCTGGTCGATGCGGGGCAGCAACAACACAGCACGGTCCCACACGTTCCTTGCTTGGTGCTATGATGTACCATTGACGCACTCGCTTGAGTGACCGACTGAAACCATTTTCTGATCTACTCAACGAACCGCACTCACCAGAGCTGGTCGATGCAAGGCAGCAGCGACACCGCCCGGTCCCACACGTTGCTAGCATGGTCCACACGTACCGCGCATGGTGATGTGCTGACTAGCTCACTCCATCCTTGACTCTCCACAGCTGGTCGATGCGGGGCAGCAACAACACAGCACGGTCCCACACGTTCCTTGCTTGGGTGCTATGATGTACCATTGACGCACTCGCTTGAGTGACCGACTGAAACCATTTTCTGATCTACTCGACGAACCGCACTCACCAGAGCTGGTCGATGCGAGGCAGCAGCGACACCGCCCGGTCCCACACGTTCCTAGCATGGTCCACACGTACCGCGCATGGTGATGTGCTGACTAGCTCACTCCATCCTTGACTCACCACAGCTGGTCGATGCGGGGCAGCAACAACACAGCACGGTCCCACACGTTCCTTGCTTGGTGCTATGATGTACCATTGACGCACTCGCTTGAGTGACCGACTGAAACCATTTTCTGATCTACTCAACGAACCGCACTCACCAGAGCTGGTCGATGCAAGGCAGCAGCGACACCGCCCAGTCCCACACGTTCCTAGCATGGTCCACACGTACCGCGCATGGTGATGTGCTGACTAGCTCACTCCATCCTTGACTCACCACAGCTGGTCGATGCGGGGCAGCAACAACACAGCACGGTCCCACACGTTCCTTGCTTGGGTGCTATGATGTACCATTGACGCACTCGCTTGAGTGACCGACTGAAACCATTTTCTGATCTACTCAACGAACCACACTCACCAGAGCTGGTCGATGCAAGGCAGCAGCGACACCGCCCGGTCCCACACGTTGCTAGCATGGTCCACACGTACCGCGCATGGTGATGTGCGGACTAGCTCACTCCATCCTTGACTCACCACAGCTGGTCGATGCGGGGCAGCAGTGACACCGCCCGGTCCCACACGTTCCTCGCATGGTTGACAAAGCGGTTGCGCATCTCCATGTCCGCGTATTTCAGCCATATGGACACGTTCCTGGGGGGAAGGGGAGAGCGGGGAAGGGGGGAAGAAGAGAGAGCGTCTTGGTGGGGTGCATCAGTGCATGGTTGACAAAGCGGTTGCGCATCTCCATGTCCGCGTATTTGATCCATATGGACAAATTTCTGGGGGCGGAGGGGGAAGGGGAGAGCGGGGAGGGTGATGGAGTGGGAAGGACAGGGCGATGCATCAGAGCATGCTTCCCCTTATAGCGGTTGCGCATCTCCATGTCCGCGTACTTATAGTAAGGGGACACGTTTCTGGGGGGAAAAGAGAGGCGAGGGAGAGGAGCAAGGGGACGATATAAAAGTACAGGCGGGGGTCCAGTCAAAACGCATTCCACAAAAGCGGTTGCGCATCACCTAGTCACACTAACGTTTAGTCGCACCTACCTATAGTCACACTCACCTATAATCCACCTCCAGTGCTCGCGCCCACACGGATCGCACGCGCGCAAAGTCTTTCTGGCTCATCTCCCACGTGGCGTATATAACCCATACGCTCGCGTTCCACCTAACTCACAAGTGTTCCACATGGCGTACTTGACCCACACTGCATGCTAACCTGTAATCGCACTGTAATCACACACGCCTACAATCACCCTCACCTACAATCACATTCGCCTTCAATCACACTCGCCTATAGTCCCACCCATCTTTAGTCACACTCACCTGTAGTCCACCTCCAGCGCGCGCTCCCACACGGATCGCGCGCGCGCGAAGTCCTTCTGGCTCATCTCCCACGTGGCGTACTTCACCCATACGCTCGTGTTCCAACGAACCCGCCGAATCAAATCTTCAAACTCCTTGCGCTTCCTTAATCGGTACTCCCCGAGCTCCTGCGCGTCGGTGATTTTCTGCTTCGGCGCCGCGGTTTCTACCTCCTGCCGCTCGCGCGCCTCGCGGAGGATTTGCTCCGCGGTGATCTGGACCGGCGCAGGAGTTTTGTTCTTAACGCGCGTCGCCCGCGGGAGGCGAATCTCCGACTCGCGCTTCGTCATGTACGCGAGCCGCGCGTCGGCTTCTTTAGAAGCCATGGCGGCGAGATTCCGAAAAAAAACAACCGACTAAGAAATCCACGTTGTGGCAATTAGGGTTTGGCGACGCGGCTGATAATGCGACGGAAGGCGATATATGTCGACCGAGACGAATGCGAAATTCGAGGACAGCTGAAGTCTGTGCAGCCGAACGGAGGCAGAACCGGCCTTTACTCGTAAGATCGGAGGTAACCAAGGCTGGAGAAAGCACGGCCAAAGTACCTAAAATAAAACGCTGCCGACTAATGTCGGAATTGATGAGGCGAAAGTTGCGAGGACCAAGACCTTGCGAGAGAAAATTGGAAAGCTGGTTGGTAACGCTGGGTTTGCAGACGATGGCGATTTCGGGAAAAAATAACCGGTAACCAGAACCAACGAATGAACGCTGAGGTCCACTAAAAAGTGTTTCTCATCAAAATCAAATAGGCGGTTGGAAGGAAAGAGCAGATTCATGTGCCTACACCCAGATCCATCCATAGAATGTGTAGAGTACATTCAGCAAATAGGTCTGTATATATATATATATATATTGCTTACACATTTCAAACATGGCAATCTCAGACACAAGATGCACATATAACATACACCACCAGCGGATGGACTCCCTCTAAGCCTCTCTCAACATGGAAAAAAACGCGAGGGTCGTGCCAACCACATTAATCACGGATGGCTACATCCAGGGGGCATTAATTATTTACACCTCAACAGCAAATGTAAGCACAAACTATATGGCTAACACATACCCGGCTCAAAGAATATGGTAGCACCCAGTTTTTGCTGCATCTGTGGCTCTCATTCCAAGGAAGAAGAATGGGGCGGGGTTGTATGATGGGGCCTGTGAGTAGAACGTTGGACCCATGATCATCAAGAATGGTGATGATCGTTTAACAATCTGATGATGATCCGAGCAGCGTCTATGCAGTGAATAGTCGCAAGCGCGAGAGTAGTGGCACGGGGCGGGCGCTCGTGCGCAGAGCGAATGGTCTCAATATCGCACTCCAGCTCCGCAAGGCACTGCTCCGCCCGCTCCTTCCTGGCGCACCACGGCCCCCCGCGCCCCCCCACCACGCCGTGCTACGGGTGGTGCAGCAGCGGGCGGAGCCCCATACGCACACTTTTCAGCACGGTCACGCCAGCGGTGGCGAGGGATTCGCCAGAGACGAGGGCGTCCTGGCTGTGGTCAACGCCGTCAACGGGGTAAACGCGAGCAACGTCCGACGTGGCAGTCTGGACGTGCTGCAGCATGCGAGCGTAGGCTTGGAGGAAGAGCGCCATGGCTGTGTGCGACGGAAAGAGCGAAGTAGGTGGGAGTGACGTGAAGGTGTAAAAATCAGGCGCTTCCGGGAGTAGTGGTAGGAGTAGCAAGGTTGGGAGATGCCTTCACAGAGGTGGCCGCATCTGCGGGAACGGATGACGAAAAATTGAAAGAGAGAGAAAGAAAAACGAAAACATTTGTGAGATTGACGACGTGGAAAACGAAAGGAAGAGTAAACACGAAGAGGTCACATCACAAAAAGTGGATGACCTAACTCTGACCCCAACTCGACCCCAAAGTCACCGCGGGGTTAGTTTGCGAAGTCAGTTGTGGGTCGTAGGGTGTGTCAGGTTCGGGTCACTCGAAACTGACCTACTCCTCAGCTGATGGCTAACCTCGCGGTTACCCTCAGGTCATACCTGTTCGGGCGATGCCATCCGCACACAGACTCTCTGTGGAGTCTCTCGTTACACTGTAAGCCGAGCCGTTATCCACCCTGAGCTTTGCTTTGCTTTGCTTGACTGGTCTTGTGACCCCTTGTTCTCCCCCACTTTGCCTATGGGGGTGTGTCAGAACATTATAGCTTACTTGTTTGTGTAGGCTATAGTGGGGTATCCCATAGGGGGTACAACCCAATTAGGGTTTCCTATTTGTACTCACCTCGTTCGTAGTCAATTCATTCTCGTTCACTTCTTCTCACTTATAGGGTGTTTCGTCACACTGTTTACACCAACGTGAGACATATACACTACTAACAATGGACATGTATTGACAGGTCATATTTAATCAAAAGCTTTAAAGCATTAGTAGCTACTATTTACAGCCCATAGTTGGCAGCAGAGTAGGCGACATTTGACAACAAAATTAACATTAAAGCATACAAAGATGCACATACGTGGGGTATTATTCGGTCATGCGCCCCCATGATCTAGCCCTCTAACCACAGGGACTCATCTACAGGGCCCACGTCCTCCCCGCTAGGAACAAACTTAGTGAACCCACTGGTGTTCACATACCGCCCGTGCTCGCCCCACATTAACGCTCCCACCCCCTTGTCGTACCAAACACCCCTGCTAATACCCAACCACTTCTCCACCACCTCCCACACTCGCCCTGCCGCTAACTCCATCCTCTTCTCATTCTCCGTAGGTCCTCCCGTGAAGCACATTGCTTCAGTGCCTTGGTTCCGGAGGCCAAAGTCGAGCTGCACAGTACGAGAGGCACTTTCAAGGTCTGATTACGGCACGTGCCTCGAGAAATCCAACAGAAAACACGTCGCGTGTTGCACTGGCGGACTTAGTGAGTACATCACCCACGTTATGTGATACGGCACAAGAACCATGAAGTCCTCCGTCAGCCACTCTGGATATGCCTCCACACACGCCGGATAACGCTGGCCGCCACACCTGCGACACTTCTGCGCACGCCTGATGTATCGCACTATTTTAGAGCGGTGTCCAAGTTTGTTGCATGGGAGCACCGGTCATTGATGCAGATCATGCCTCTGATCTGCCACCTACCCGGGCACGAGGGGATCGGGAGTTTCATGGTGCTATTCAACAAGTGGTATGCTGATTATTTCAGAGTGGAGTTCCACACGGAGGAGAGTCTGGCGGCAGCAAAGGAGCAAACGTCGAGGTGAGGTTGAGTGCTATGGGGTGGTTGCCGATGCAAGTCAGAATCGTGAAACCCTGTCATCTCAGTTACATACAACATGCGGAGCCATCAGAGCATTGTTGTGGTCCCCCTTTGGCCGTTCTCTGTCCATGCACGCCAGGATGGTTACCGAAATTATTCGCGTGTTCCCAGACCAGAAATCAGAGTGGAAGCTTGTAAAGGTGCACGAGCTGAGCCACCTGCCCGACTACATACGTGCACGGGGGCTGGCCCTAGAGTACAACGCGAATAGGTGGGAGGCAATGCACAAAACATGCGTGAAACGGCATGCGCGGAACAGCAACTGGCACGATGTGGATGCCGACATAGCATTCCGTCATGAGCGCCTTGCTGCAATCCAGACTCTGAGCAGGGAGGAGGGAGGTGGAAAGGTGTATGAGACAGCAATGCGACTGGTGAGTAGAAGCCAATGTCATTCCCTATGCTTTCCAAACCCCGCTGACCCGTGAGATTGGTCTTTACACGTGGTGCTCGACCTTTAACCGTTTTACATCTTTCTGATGCACGACATGGACGTGGCACTGTTGTTGATGTAGGCGATGGCAGGAAACTGTCGGGTCCTCACCAAGACAAGCACGAAGACGATATTGAACGATGTCTCGGATGAGCAGTGGCGCCTATTTGTCGACAAGGCGAGTGCGGACGCTATGGGTAGATTGAGCACCGAGCTTGTGCGTGCTGGACACATGACCGGGATTGTGCAGGTATGCCACACACAGCCATCAACTCTGTTGGTTTATTGTACCGTGGAGTGGATGTCGTGCATTCACGGCATACATGACCATTGCAAAGGGCAATGACTGCGCCTCTCCCATTGCTACCTAGTGGTTGCATGCGAACCCTTTTCCCATCCCATACCGGATCTCACCGAGCCTCGTGACGTGTCCTAAACCAGCATCTCTGGTTTGGCCCACGCTCCCACGTGATGTCATTCCGCTTCCTCCGCTTCGTACCCTTTCCGCTCCCCCGCTTACCACTATTCTTTTCCTCACATCGAACCTATCGGACACCCACAGCCCCTCCGCCCCATCCCCACTTCATCCCATCCCATCATGTCACGCCCCATGCCACCCATGTAACATCCTCCGTCCCTCATTTCCGCGCACGCGCGTCAATATGGCCATTTAGATTCTCCCACGACACCCCCTAGGAGTATAGAACGCAGTCTGTTTGTCGGAGTACCAAGCTGTGATTATTGGTCACGTTATTTGAGCTTTGATTCGCTCGGCGTGAGGTTGGATTTGCTCAATTAATGACTCGCACACCTTACTGTGCTGGATGAGCAGTGAGCGTCAGGCCGGCTCCACAAAATGGTAGTACAGAGCATCTCAAAAGACTCGAAAAGAGCCCTGCAGGCCTTCACAGTCACTGCTATCCATTTTAACACTCGAAGAAGCACCGTCGCCATGGTTGATTGCAATAGGGATGGTCAAGAAACACGGCAAGCAGGGTAGTGAGCACGTCATTCGTCGTAAATAGTATAGGATCCGCAGGTGCAGTCACAGGTAGCTTAGTGCTTGATAGGCGAGCTGACTTGGTAAGGAACTGTCAGGGCCTCTCCTGTATACATCCACATCGTAGGACTTCTTTCTAGGCCCACTAACACAGTGAAACTCTCCCCGCCATGCGATGTTTTGCCAAGCCCTACGGGATTGTTGTATCTCACCGTGCATACGCATGTGTCGTCCACAGGTTCAAACTGAGAAAGTTAGAACGAGAATGAAATGACTATCAATGAAGTGAGTACAAATAGGAAACTCTAGTTGGGTTGTACCCCCTATGGGATACCCCACTATAGCCTACACAAATAAGTAAGCTATAATATTCTGACACACCCCCATAGGCAAAGTGGGGGAGAACAAGGGGTCACAAGACCAGTCAAGCAAAACAAAGCAAAGCTCAGGGTGGATCACAAAGTCACCACACATTCCGAGCACAAGTTCAAGGGCCACAAGGCCAGTTCACATGCAAGACCATATATAGAGATATACAAGAGTCAAGCAAGCAAGAGCAAGAGTATATATATAGGTCGAGGTACAAGCAAGGTCAAGAAGTGAGCAAGTGAGGC